TTCAAGGAACATAAGGTATATTGTTCTAGTATTGAAATCTCCAAATCTGGATTTCTTGATTTAGGGTTTAGGGTTTCGTTAGAGTTGAAAGTTTGTTTCTTGCAGTGACCGCTTATTCTCAATTCCTAAAGACTATGCTTCTTGATTTCTATTGGATTTCAACGATCACAAGAAAATTATTGGATTTATTTAAAATAAATATATAATATGCATAAATTATACTGCGCTCATCTTAAATAAATTTCAATATTTCTACTTCGAATAAATAATTATATTTTTTTTATTTTTCATTCCTACTTAAAATTTTATTATGATAGTAGTTTAAATTAATATTATTTTCTCATTTTAATAATAAATAAATTTGTTTGTGAATTTATACAAGTAAGCTCTAAATTGAGTGGGCTCATTTACATCTAGTGGCCCCAGCCATGAAATAAAATGAAGGGGCCATTTGCATACATATCATATGATTTTTAGATATTTACATATCTAATACCTAAATCAAACTTTAACATATGATTAAAAATATGCTATTACTAACATTTCAAAACTAAAATGCTGTTTTTCATGAATAGGATGTAAAATATGAAAGTTTAGGTATTAGATGTGTAAATATATAAAAATTATGCGGTATGTACTTCAATTTACCCAAAATTGAATTGTCTAAATAAGGTTTTGCAAAAAAAAAAAAAAATTAAAATATTTACAAATAAAATTTCTTGCATTAATCAAACAATGTAAAAAAGTATAAATAAACTAGTTTATGAAAGTTAAGAAATAAGAAAGAGTTAGATTATGTTAATATGTATGTCCATTTTAAATTATATTATTTGAAATTTAGAAAAACATGCTTAAATTTATTTATTTATCAAATATTTTAAATTTTAAAAAATATATTTATTTATCAAAGATGAAGAAGTTTGATGTAGTATTAATATAACTAAATTCCAGTAGTTTACTTTTTAGTGTAATGGTTCATACGAGAATGAATATATATATATATATATTGTCATCCATTCACTCTAGTATTGAAACCCTAACCCTAGTTATGGACCCCTCTTCCTCCTCCGTCGGATTTTCGGTCTCTGGAAACACCCAATCCCCTCAAAACTCCACACCGCTGCCCTCCTCCGTCGAATTTCCTCCCTTCGGAAGCACCCAATCCTATGAAATCTCTCCGCCGCTCCCTTCCTCGTCAGTTGCAAACCCCAGCTCTGAAGACCACCAATACACACAAAACTATTCTTCGCTGCATCCCCCATTCTTCTCCGTCCCAAACCCTTTTTCTGCAAACCTCCAATTCTACCCGGAACAACAATTGCACTACAATGGACCACCGATGCTAATGGGCTCCGGTGCAGATTGGAACGAAGAACTGCCTAAGTTGTTCCGCTATTTAAACTTCCCTTCTTTCATGAGGGGAGGGGCATGCGGGCAAGTCTACACGCACTGGTATGAGTGCATGTACCGCGCAGTAAATATCGGTGGAGACAGGGATAATTGCTCCAGGTTGGCCGGCTTGCTCCGGGACTGCATCTCCTCAAATATGAACTACTATCATCCCCTTTTTGTGCATTTTACAAATATAAACCGCCGCCGGTAATCGTGAAGGAGATTCAGGCTTCTTCATGGCTTCTCTCTCTCTCTCTCTCTCTCTCTCTCTCTCTCTCTTTTCAGCGATTTTAGGAACATAAAGTATAATGCTGCAGTATTGGAATCTGCAAATCTTGATTTCTTGAATGGCCAAATAACTTCGTTGGAGGCGAAAATTTGTTTCTTGCAGTGATGGTTTCTTCCTAAATCCTAACGGCTTTGCTTCTTGATTCTGTTCGTGATAGAATTGTTTAATGACTTTAACTAAATTCACCATGAATTACCATCGTTTATTTGATTTTAAAAGAACGGACTAAAAATTACTGATTTTTTTTTTAAAAAAATAGATATAATATGAAGAATTTATATTATGTTCATCTTATAAGTAGCAAATTATATGATTTGATTAAAAAATATGACTATATTATTTAAAAATTTTAAATTGGAAGAAACTATGCTTAAGGTTTTGACATTATTTGCTAGTTTTACTTTGCCTGTTAAATCATTCGATTTATGTGGGTGGAATAGTCAAATTAATTCACAAAACATGTTAATCGGAAGAAATTATGGTTAAGTTTGGATGTTGGACAAGTAAATACATAAGAATTGAATGGTATGTATGTAAATCTCCCTTCTAAGTTTTATAATGAATGCTGCCTTCGATCAGCTGCTTCATTTTCAGTATTCAATTCTAGCGATACATAGCATGAATTATTCATCTCAAATTCCATTCAAAAGAGATCTTTTGTAGAAATAATGACCAACCTCCAGAATCGATTTGAAGGTCTTAGAAATGTTCGTTAAAGTTTGGAAAACAAAAAAAAAAAAAAAAAAAAAAAAAACACTCTTACAAAAGTAACATGCAGGACCTATAAATCCAAAGATATTATATACACTATAAATTACAGCACTAATCTCAAAGATAATTAACAACCAAGATGAAAAAGCCACCCCTGAAAGTAAGCAATCAACCGACGATTCAAGATCAAGTAATGTAATTTCCAAGCCATCTCTCTCTCCCTGAAAAACAGAAACCCTTTATCCTAACTATTCTCATATCTACTGGAGATTCATTAACCACTTTCTTCCACTCCTTCCGCCAAAGCATAGGATATCACTTGTCTTATATAACTTCATGGACAATACATGACCCTGGGTGTTAAGAGATTCAACTCTAACATGTTGAAAAGGACCCGGCGGGACCCATTCCCAACATTAGTTCTATGATTGAGTCAAGAATCTCCTACAAATTGGTCATATTATAAGTGGTTCATTTTTTACTCGAACTCAAATCTAACTTTCACGCATATGCAAATACCTTCTTGTTTAGGGTTTTTAGTATGTATATTTTATTTTTACTTAGTTCATTTATTTTAATTATACACGTAATTTAATACTTTAATGAACTAAGTTAAAATCTTGAATGAGTATTTGAATTGTTATATAAAATTATTTGTTGCAACAATTTTTTTTACTATCAATTAATATAATTAAATAATAAAAATTTAGTTCATTGAATAAAATAAATAAAAAACTATTACATCGCATTAATATATTTATTACATGAATCAGTATTTAACCACGTCAATTTTGTGCATAACCATGCCGGTTTCAAGTGTGATCACACCGCTGGACAACCAGATCTTGTTCTAGAATGTATTTTTTATGTTGATTTTTATTAAATCTTTAAAAGGAGAAGCATAAGCACGAATAGAAGCACTCTTTTCGCAAACTAATGATCAAACTATACTTTCCAATAAATGAAATCTAAAAAAACCTAAAAATAGTTTGATCTAAATATGTATGAGATCAAATCAAATAATTAAAATGTGATTGAAAATTTTATAATATTAAATAAGGGTTTAAATATTTTTCATACACCTGGATGTTTATAGTCAAATTTAATATCCCAATTGCAAACTCTACTGAATTCCATGATTTTTAAGATATTTAAACTCTGAATCAATAACTAATGATAAAAACAAACATACAAAACATATAATGAATTTTTTTTTAGATTTTGGTAAAAAAAAAAAATCAAAATATAACTATTAAAATTTACAAATAGACTCTTATTCTTCATAAAAATGACTTGAATTTGAAATTAGATTAAGTTTGGCAGTATGACAAACTCTAGAGCTTTGATTGATCAACAACGTTGATGACTATTACCAACAACTATTGTCAACAACTCTCAGTTTTCATTTGATTCCTATCATGAAGCCTTCAACAACACTTAGTTGTTAGCTTCCCATGATCATTGTTGTATGGTTATCATTTTTAAATTGTTATTGTCTGACCACCATCATTTAATCATCATCATCTGATTCATCCAACTGTTATTTTTTTAATTTTTTTTTTAATTTATTATATTGATTTAAATTTTAAATGTATTAATCTATTGATATCATCTCAAGTCAATATCTCTTAATTTTTCCTCTTGTAATTTCTTATTTTCCTTTTGTACATTCTAATTAATTCAACTTTAAACAGAATTAATATCTTTTTTATTTGTAAATATGAGCTCAAAAAAGATATTAATTCAACTTTAATACAAGAAAACTCGTTTATAACAATTATCATACGTTATTATATATGTCAGGTAAAAAAAAAATATGAGAATTTTAATTTGAATTTTTTTTAATGTTTAAAAAAAACAGCAAAATATAGGAGCTAAACTAAACAAAGATTAAATATATTCATCATATTGATTTACTCAAAACAAATAACAACAACATACGAACCAACAGCAACATTTATTTAATGAGTAGCATACGACGCGGTAGATTGTTGTAAAAGCAATGAGCATGAAGGAATAACATCTAGATTTTTTAACTTATTTTTATGATCGTAATCATAAACATATTTTCTGAGAATTGTTATTGTGGAAGGCTAAGCATTTCTTCATGTTGCTTCGCTACTATCTGCAAGTTGAATTCAATAGAGAAAAATATTTAGAAATCTCATATTTAAATTGCTTTCATGTATAAACAATATAATATTTCCTCTTGTATTCATGTACTGCATTAAGCAAATAATCTTCATGTGTTTTTTTTTTTTTTTTTAAATCTTCTCTACTAAAAAAAATATTATCATGAAGAAATGCAAAATTTTAGTTGAGAAGAGAACATTAGAATAATAATTTCTTCTATTGTGAATCTATTTATCATTACATTGACGTAGTTTTTAATTGCACAGTTATGTCCGATTTACTCGTAATATTATTTAGATTTGAGAGTTAAATCAACTACTTGTATTTGGCATTGTTGTCTACTCATCTATAAGTGATTTAAAAGTTTTATATTTTTATATTCAACATATGCATTGTTTAATTTGGCGATGATTAGAAGAAAATAACACAAGAGATAGAACATTGCATAACGTACTCTTTAATCATCATCATCAAATTAATGATCGGCAGATCTTGGTGGCCTCAACGCCGCTTGCGGAACTTCTTCATTCCTTGCAAACCTTCCTCGAACTCGATGTCTGCTATCTGCTTGTTTCTTCCTGCAATCATACTATAACATTTTGTTTCATGTCAGTGACATTGTAACATAAATTTCTGAAATTAAAGCATTTCTCTGAAACTTCGCAACCACAATTACCGTGATCTTTTTGCTAAAATTTCTGGTATTTCTCTTCTCCTTGTGCCTACTTATCTTCTTCTTCCTCTCCTCTAATGTTAACTTTGGAACCTTTAAACCTGATTCCTTTGATGTTGAAAAATCATTAGCAACCACTTTTAATGGAGCTGTGCTCGTGCTGCAGCCGCTCATTCTTTGGTTGCAATCCCTTAACACCTTCAAAGAAATTTTGATTATAATTTAACTAAAAAAACTTAGCATTGATGAATGATGCATGCATATATACCTGTGAATCTCTTGGATGATAGACTGACTGCATGGGTGCAAACGAGTATATTCCTAAGTTGCAAGGTTCCACAGCCTCCGACTGTCTCACCGTCATTCCTGCATCAGGAAATGACCCAAAACCAGCACAGGTGCCCTCATTATAATGCAACCCACAAAATGCACTTGTAGTATCATTGAAAGAGCAGAGATTTAATGTTAATGGGTTTATGGCCTGACAACTTGGTAAATTCATTGCCATTTGGCGAACAGTCGGGCCTAGTGAGTAAGATGGATATGTACGAGGAGGAGATATGACTTGGTTGAGCTGATTTGTGACATAAATTGGTGCCATGGGTAGACCTGATGGTGGTGGTGGTTGGGAGTTGGGGAGAGAGTGAACCTTATGTGTAGTCATGCAAAGTTGTGTGTTTGTGGGTGTGATGTGTGATGCTAATGAGCGGGTTTCTATGAAGGGGTCGATGTAAGAAGTGTCATAGTTGGTTTTTGTTTCAGTGGTGGGGACTGCGCAGGAAGAAGGGTGATAGCAGAGCAGAGGGTCGTTGTTGTGTGTTGTGGGGGTGATGGTGTATGAAGAATGGGGATCAAAGCCGAGAATCGGGGCACCGGTGTGTGTCGTCCTGGGGTCATTGCAAGGTATGCTGGCGGCAATGGAGTTATGTATTGTCGGTGGGATGTCTGCATTTGCAGCCATTGGAGGATCTGAAGGAATGTTGTTGGTTGTGGGATGAACTTTATAGTGATCAGGTTCTGGTTGGTTGATGATTTGTTCAGGGAGGCCATTGTCTTCATGGTCGAAATTGAAGACATTGTCACCTATAGTAGGATCGGCAAGACATTCCTGTTATAATCAAAATAAAATATTTAGATTGTTAAATTGTTAGTTCTACTATAGCAGACAAATTTCACATTTTAGACTACGCATGAAAATATGTATTTCACCTTATAAAAGTTAAAAATAAGGTATTTTTTATGTGATATCATATATTGTTGAGGTATAAAAGCAAACAAAAAAAAAAGAAAAAAAAAGTTTAGGTGTTTGATGAGTAATACATAGGAATTCGGTGGGTATAAAAAGAAAACTGGAAGCAGTAATATTCTAAGCTATCTATTATAAAAAAAATGTTGCAGTTTTAGATGGCAAGAAAACGATAAATCTAAGCAGTAAATCATGATGCATTCAACATTCCTATGGTTAATTGCATTAGAACCAAATTGCATAAGAAATAATAAATAAACATATAGAACCGGATTGTGGAGAATCACATCAAGAGAGATGTGCGGTGGAGTTTTTAAAAAATTCTCCAGCAGAATTTCATCATCATCAAACATATTTTGGGGAGGATTATCCAACAAAACATCATCATCATCAAACAAATATTGGCGAAGACTATTCAGCTGAACTTCATAATCATCAAATGAATGTTGAGGATGATGACTCGAATTCATATTAATGGTGAATGAAAGAAGAATTCATAAAAAGAGAGAGAGAAAGAGAGAGGATGGTGTATTTATGGTGGATGAGAGAAGAGAGGAGATAATAAATGAAGTATTTTGACATATGACTAAAAAAAATGATTAAAAAAAGAATTTTTCTATATATAGACTCAACGGCTATTTGAAGTTTTCCCTGAAGAAGAATGGGGATAAAATCCTTAGAGCTTGCTGGTCCATTGAAATTTCTTCCTCCGGTGGACATCTGTTGCTCATAGGGATCGCTGAAAATTTTGAAAGGAATAAGAACCACTACTCGAGATGGATGGTAGCAATGTACAAGCTTCTCTTAAAGGATTTTGCTGTTGAAGGGTTACAGGCATTTCAACTCCTCCGTCTCCACGCCATCTCACCTTCCCATCATACATATGCTTGAAAAAATATATTTCATTTTTTAAATGTTAAAATGTGGTATTTTCTGTGTGATATTAAAGATTTGGGGGATATAAATGTAAAAAAAGCAAATTTTAGGTGTTCGATGTGTAATAACATAGGAATTGGATGGGTATAAAATGAAAGCTGCAAGCAATAATATTCTATGCTATCTCATATAGAAATGTCGTTGAGGGTTTATATGGCAAAAATGCAAAATTAAAGATAAATGTAAGCAATGAAGGAAGCATCCTATATTCTTATGGGTACTTGGATTAGAACCAAAGTGCAAAGATTCTCCACATAGACCTTTTCCAATGTATTTTGCTTTTTATATTTTTATGGCACTCTTCAATAGTATTATATTAATGGTCTTCATTTAAAAAATATTATTACTTGATACTTCGGATGTGGCCATGCCATCGTGGATTTAATACGGTCTTTCTTAGTTGAACTTGCGGTGATAATTTCTCTTTCATGTGAGAGAGAGGAGTTTTTCGTTACTAATTATTATTAGAAATTAGACTTTACATAATAATTATTATCACCTTAATATTATAAAATTTGTCACTTTATGGGAGTCATTTATATACCAATTTAATCCAATAATATTTACCCTAAAACAAAAAATTTTATGCATATGTATGATTGCATTTATTGGCTATTATTTTTGTTATTTATTTGTTGATTAAATGAAATCTTTCTTTTTAATGAAATTAAAGTGCTGCATATTGACATAATAAAATCTTTTGCAAATTTTGAAAGACAATTTAAAATAAAATAAGGATTAGGATAACTTATATTGTGAATGAGGTCTAATGGGTCTCATGCGATGAGCAACCCTCATAGTTACTCATCTTATATCAATCATATAAAATGCCAATTCATGCAAGCATGCATGGCCAACAATTATTATCAAAGCTTATATATGCTTCATAGGCATATGAGGCTGGCTGACTGATGCGTTGTATATCATAAAATTATTTTTATAAATAAATAAATTTAATTATTTATTATAATTATGAAATATTTCAAAATAAAGCATGCGTTGTACATGTTCATACTTGATTTATTTATATTTTTAATAATCATACTTAATTTACATTTAACTTGTTTATTTAAATTAAATTAGTAATTCAATGAGTAAATGAGCTATTAAATAAGTTTAAAATTTAAATGAGTACATAACTTTTCATATAAAACTATTAAAAAAAAAATTATAAATCTAAACAGAAAACAGCAAAATAATTTATGAATTTGTATTGAAATGTTTTACACATATTAAATAAGTTTACGAAAAATTTACAAATAAATTTTCTTACATTAATAAAGCAATATAAAAACTTGTTTATGAAAGTTAAGAAATAAGAAAGAATTACACTATACTAATATGTTTGCCGATTTAAAATTATAATATGTTAATATTAAATGAAATTTAAATTTATTTAAGAATATATATTAGAAGTATAAATTATTTAATATATTTTTTTTACTGAAAAATAAATAAATATTTTCATAAATATTGATAAATGAAATGAATCATATTCACATTTGATTTACTAAATATTTCATATAAAAAGATATTTAAATTTATTTATTTATCAAATATGAAAAAATATGATCTAGAATTAATATAGCGAAAATCAAGTACTTTAATTCTACTGTAATGGCCCCTTTTTGAATGAATATATATATATATATATAGACCTCGGTTTTCCTCCTTCCAATCTCTATTTGTCATCATTCAGATAAATACCGAAACCCTAACCTTAGTTATGGACCCCTCGTCCTCCTCCGTCGGATTTCCGCTCTCTGGAAACACCGAATCCCCTCAAAACTCCACACCGCTGCCCTCCTCCGGCGGATTTCCTCCCTCCGGAAACACCCATTCCTTTGAAATCTCCCCGACTCTCCCTTCCTCATCAGTCACAATCCCTACCTCTGAAATCCCTCAATCTACGCAAAACCCTTCGTCGCTTCATCTCCCATCCTTCTCCGTCCGAATCCCTTTTTCTGCAAACCCCCAATTCAACCCGGCACAACAATTGTACTGCAATGGACCGCCGACGTTGATTGTCTCGGATGCAGGTTGGAACCGAGAACTGACTAACTTGTTCCACGATTTTAACTTCAGGTCTTTCATGAGAGCAGGGCCGTGCGAGGATTTCTTCAAGGAATGGTATGTGTGCATGTACGGCGCCGTCTACTTCGGTGGAGAAAGATCTAATTGCTCGAGGTTGGCTGGCTTTCTCCGGGACTGCGTCTTCTTAAGTCAGAATTACCATCATCCTCTTTTTGCGCATTTTTCAGATATAAACCGCCGCCAGTAATCAAGGAGGGGATTCATGTTTCTTCATGGTTTCTCTCTCTCTCTCTCTCTCTCTCTCTCTCTCTCTCTGTTTTCAGTGATTTTAGGAACAGAAAGTATACTGCGGCAGTATTGAAATCTGCAAATCTTGATTTCTTGAATGGCGAAATAGCTTCGTTGGAGGCGAAAATTTGTTTCTTGAAGTGATGATTTCTTCCTAAATCCTAATAGCTTTGCTTCTTGATTCTGTTTGTGATAGAATTGTTTACAGATTTTAACTGAATTCACCACGCATTACCAGCCTTTATTGGATTTTAACAGGACGGACTCAAAATTACTGATTTTTTTTTTTTAAATATATATATAATATGAAGTTATATTCTGTTCATCTTAAGGAAACTTCAATAATTTTGTTTTTAGTAGCTAATTATATGATTTGATTTTAAAGCTAATATATTATTTAAAAATTTTAAATTATGTTTTAAATTGGAAGAAACTATGCTTAAGAGGACTAAAAGCTTAGAAAGCACTAACTAAATTGAGTCGGCTCATTTACATCCAGTGGCCCCAGCCATATTCTTCTGCAAATGAAATAAATTGAAAGGGCCATTTAGGAGCTAGATATGTAAATACATTAGAATTATGTGGTATGTACTTAAATTCCCCAAAAATATCTTAATAAATCTAAAGTGATGATAGTTTTATTAGTTCGTACTATTTAAATTTAATTTTTATTTTTTATTATATATTGTTTTGCGGTGAGTGAAAAACTAAATATAATTTTACAGGTTAAGTATTGTAATTTGGTGCTTGCTATAATTTTGCATGAAAAGCTTAGAAAGCATTAACTAACCATTCGTCACGTGTCTCAGTTTTCCTTCTTTTAAGCTTAAGAGGACTAAAAATATATATATATTTACTAAGGAGGCTGTTTAAATTGTCAATATCACATTTTTGATGTACAGTCATAAATATATACATGTTACAAATTGATGTGGTATGCATGTAAATATAGGTGTTAGATATGTCCATTCATAAATATATGTGGTGTGCATATAAACTATAGATTTTAGTAAAATTGCATAAATCCTCAAATTATCAATATTTCTTTTGTCAGTTGGAAAGCTAACAATTGATCTTATTATGCTCCACTCCTCATCATAAAGATGAAAAATAGTCTCTATCCCTAAAAAATAGCTTCTTAGTCTACGATCCATTGCAATAGAAGATGACTTGTAGAATACGTATAAACTTATTTAGCCGCCCGACCCTCTCTAAGTATTAGGACTGTAATTGAGTCAAATATGTCACGGGTCGGACTAAACTTGGTCATATTATAAGTTGTTCATTTTTTATTTGAGCGCGAGCCGAGCTTTCACAGACATGTTCATACTTTAATAATCAAACTTAAATTATATGTAACTAGTTTATTTGAATTAAGTTAGTAATTCAATGAGTAAATGAGCTAATAACTAAGTTAAAAATTTGAACATAATTTCTAGAACTAAACTTGGTCCCTTCGATCAGCTGCTTCATTTTCAGTTTTAGATCGAGTTTGGCAGAATGAAGAACTCTAGAGGTTTGATTGATTAACAACGTCGATGACTATTACCAACAACTATTGTCAACAACTCTCAGTTGTCATTTGATTCCTATCATCAAGCCATCAACAATGCTCGGTTGTCAGCTCTTCATGATCATTATTATATGTTTATCTTTTTTAAATTGTTATTGTCTGACCACCATCATCTAATCATCATCATCTAATTGTCATCATCCAACTATTATCACTTGTTTGTCATTACTTTAATTATTATCATCAATCTCCAATACTATTTCAAATATAAGAATTCAGCTAAGTACGCCCAATGTTATAAATGACAATAGTGAATATATTTTACTTGTTTTTTTTTATATATAATTATAATATTTGAATAAAATAAATTTTGATTCATCTATCAAAGGAGTAAATTTTCCTTAAAAATTTGGGAAATGCTTTACGTTGAAATGGAGCCCTTTTAGTGCTTGTGAATTTGAAAACTTTAAAAGAAACTAATAATATCCAATTCATCTAATTTATTCGTACCGACGTTTTTTATTTTTTCAATATTCTTATATTTATGCCATCTTTTTTATGATGCTATATTAATTACAAAACTAATAAAACTTTAAAAGAAACTAATAAAGAGGAGCGACGAGGGGCATGGGGAGTTTTTCCATACAATGAAATAAGGATCGCAGGTAGAACCCTGCAATTCGCGTCTAATAGTAAAAAAGAAACTACATT